TCCAAAAAACCTCTTGAAGACAAAGAAGGTACCACACTGACTGGGAAGTTCGCCACCGCAGACCCAGTCATTAATTAGGAAGCATCCTTCTCTAAACAAGCCGCAGCGCTTGGACACCGGGAGATGAAACGCACACAAACTCAGTTACCGGGTCGAAAACTGAGTAAATCAAGATCAATCAAGCCTGAAGGGCATCCTTCAGGCCTGAAAGTAACATGCCACATTCTTGATCTTTGAAAGCTGACTTAGCCAGTACACTAATTCAGATAGTCACCGGCACCCAGTCACAATCTGCTCAAAGCTGCCCCGTTTTACTGAACTAAGACAATCTGAGAAGTTATTGTGATTAAAGAGAAGACCTTTTTTCAATTGGTTTGCCAGACCAGGACACCGTCTGGACCTTTGTTAGCAGGAGATTAAGACAAATTTGTGGAGAATAAGCCTATCAATAGCTGCTAGTCATGATGACTGTATACTACCTACATGATCAGAGGCAATGTGCCTCTGAAGATTGGTAACAGCAGCAGGAGAGGGCTATTACCTTTATATTACTTACCATGTAGGGGTTTTTTCTGACAATAAGGAAGGATATACATTTCGTTAAATAAAGTGGTATTAAATACTAGTTTTGCTCCAAGTAGACTCACTGACATTAATGGGCATGACTAACTTAGGTTCATTAATTTCATTAGGTCTACAGTATTCAAGTAGGGCTAGTGCTGAATACAACCCAAAATAAATAAATAAATAAATGCCCTTAGCCACTGTCGAAACAAGATGCTGGCTTAGATAGATCTTTGGCTCTTATTTCCCACAAAAGAGTTGGGGAACTTGTGGCTCTCCAGATGTTCCTGGACTACAACTACAACATTGGTCACACCAGCTGGAGCAGGCAGGAGTTGGAGTCCAGCAACATCTGGAGGAGCAGATGTTCCTCTGGGTCTAATTGCCTCCACCACTGGCTGAAGCAAGTGAGATGTCTCTTTTGCCCTCATCAGGCTACGGAGAAGGACAAACAGCAAGACCCAGGAAGAAGCAGTTCAGAAGTGGTAACTTCACTATGTCGAATCAGTTCTGTTCAAGCAAAGATATCCAACTTGTGACCTTGCAACTCTCCTTTTCAAATGGTTTTCATGTTTGACAGCATCCGCAGCGTTAACCAATATGCAAGAAACGGTCGTGTGTTAAGGAAAATCACTTGAATTATCAGGCACGCTGAGGATCCTGTTTCATTAACTGATAATCTCTTAACATTACTATTCTTCAAGGAAGTAAACCAGGCTGTAAAAAACATAAAATGCCACATATTTTTAAAAAACCTAGGATATTGGGGAGAAATGCCCTTACATCTGGTTTACTACGTGTACACAGTTGTGTTTATTATTTTTTATGTGATTATCATTTATTTTTGTTTGGAGGAGCAGTCAATACCTCAGCCTTCTCCTGTAGTCTGAAGTATATCCAAGGCACAAGTTTTCCACCTCAGTGAGAATTAGGCTTTTCAAACAGCAGTTTTCCAGGTGGAACCAATAGCAATGATTAATATACCTGTTACTCCCACTGAAATATGACACTGCGCTTCAGAGGCAAAACTGGAAGGAATCCCAAGGTTACATTTGTACAAGATGGTCCTGTCCCATCACCTTCCTCGAGCAAATCATTTTCACAAAGTAGAGGTTACAGATTGCCAGCATTTGCCCATTATTCTACAGGATTAAGCTATGGGGCTGGGATTCTGTAGTAATCAGTTACCAAGTAGTAATTTACAATAGTGCACCTAGAGGTAAAAAGGTATCCCTGGACAGTTCAGTCCAGTCAAAAGGGACTATGGGGTGCAGCGCTCATCTCGCTTCAGGTCAAGGGAGCCAGCATTTGTCCACAGACAGCTTTCCAGGTCATGTGGCCACCATGAATAAACAGATTCTGGCACAATGGGCGCTCTGACAGAAGCCAGAGCGCACAGAAACACAGTTTACCTTCCCACCACAGTGGTACCTATTTATCTACTTGCATTGGTATGCTTTCGAAATGCTAGGCTGGCAGACGTTGGGACAGAGCAATGGGAGCTCACCCCATCGTGCAGATTTGAACCACCAACCTTTCAATCAGCAAGCCCAAGAGGCTCAGTGGTTTAGACCACAGTGCCACCCCTGTCCCTAATAGTGCACCTATCACAACTTGGTTACACAGTCATCTGTACTGTCCAGCCAGCTGGTGAGGAGAATGTTACCACACTTTTGCACTTAATTAGACATCTGGGAAGCAGGGGACAGGTAAAATTTACTATTGCAATAAGTCATGGGAGCGGCAACAGCAAAGGGCGGGATATACATTTCTAAATGCATTTCTCATCATTTGACGGGGCCATTCAAGAAGTTTCCCACGCTCCTCTTGTTAAATCACGTCTTGATAAAACAGGAGGCATTCGTCCCATAAAATCTGAGTATCCTAACCTCTTCCTTTTTTAGAAAGAGCACATTTTTTACCATCATGGTTACAGAGATAAGAGGTCGCCAGGAGTCTAGCAACCGAGGGACGCTATATTTCATAGCTTTCCTCATTTTGTCCCATCTACAAGGTAGCTCCATTCCTATGGTATCCCATCATACCCGTCTTTTACAATAATCACAGGTGGTATGTGTTGCTCAGAAGGGACTATGTGGAGGGGGGATCAATTCATAGCCCTCATGTGCTGTGTGCTTCTGTATACAATTAACTTTTACATCTTGTTGCTAGCCCATCTCAAGTTCTCATCATTATTTATTATTATTATTTGAATTTCTATACCGCCCTATACCCGGAGGTCTCAGGGAGGTTCACAGAACAATAATCAAAACTGATAGCATTGCAAATACCATTTCTAATCATGCATTCAATAAATCAAGCAAACAAAATGAGTTTGCATAGGCAATTTGCATGCATTTCTTGGTTTCCTTCACAGGGAGGAGAACTGTAAACTAACTTCAGATGCATCCACATCTCACAGACAACTGCAGGGTAAGAAAGAATGAGCCAAGAAGTTACGCACTTCCACATAATCAGGAAAAAAAGGAAGAAGAAGAGAACAAACAGATGGTTTCGCCTTAAGGACCAGGGAACTCCCATTAGCAAAAACAGTAACACTAATACAGTATATTAGAAAGGTGTATGCCTCACTAAAGAGCGTTTTCGAAACCCTGCATGTCTTGAAAGCACATGGGCACATTAAGAAGAGTCTGGATACTTTTAAATTTTGCAAAACTGGATTTTGATGACTGTAGGTGTTTCCAGGCTGTTTTTTTGAGGATGGGATTCAATCACATTCCAGCAAATTCAGGTGGCACAATGAAAATGGACCTATGCAACATACCCACTTCCAAAATAAATAAAAGCAAGCCATACTTTTTGCGATAAGGAAAGTGACAAGATAATGCTCTGGAAAGTGTGGGACAACAGTTGATTATGTAACATCACATCAACCTCCCCACAAACAAATCAGAACGATTGTTCAAAAAACAGGTTGTCTGGAAGCTACTTTCAGTTGAAATCCTATATGCTTATCTTTTGAGCAGACATGCAGAAGATTGTACTGTGGAGCTTACACCTCTTGAGTAGGGAGGAGGGCTTGAAGAATGGATTTTTTGCACCAAGTAGACCAAAGGTCAGTTGGCTACAAAAGGAGGTCCTTCCACAAAACGTTGAGAAATAAACCCCATTTATTTATATGGAGCAGAGGGTGGGAAAGCAAGCCTTATCATTAGATCACTATTCAAGTAACGACATCGTAAGAGAAAACGCAGCTTTCATAACAATTTTAAGCTGTACCTCTGAAATAAGAGTATGCTTACTTCAGCTTTCATTTTATATTCTCCCATGGGTACTGGGAAAGCTTCTTATAATACAGCAACAAGCCCATGCACAAATCCACCTATTGGGATTTATTATTCTGAGAAAACATGCAGAGTGTCAGCTGCAAAATTAAATACAAAAAGTACCTTGCATGACATACCAAAAATTGTCCAAGAAGTACAAGGTGCTTTAAGCAAGCATTCATCACTAATTAGTTATAATTAGGAGCAATTACATTCATTTTACAGATGGGAAAACTGAGGCACTGTTTTGTGTGCACGTTTTTCCTTAATGCAATACAATTAGTCAATGACAAAGCATCCAGGAATTTGGGATCCCAGCCCCCAGTTTTAATTATTATTCACTATGTGGCCAAGCTGGTTGTTCCTATTTTACTGTCCACACAAATTAAAACAAGCTTATCCTCTGAAGGAGAACAGAGTCCACGGCTCTTTCTGCCCTACATTAATCTCAGAACAGCAAACTGAAGAATGTGCCATAAAACCTTTGCTAGAAGTTTTGCTAGAAGAGAGAGAGAGAGAGACAGAGAGCACACGTACCACTATGGCCGCTATATCTCAAGGATGCACTGCCTTAACACAGGCTTAGTTCCTTGACACTTTTAATCCTGTTCATTAAACTTAATCAGTCATGTGTCAAGTAACACCATAAGCTTCAATAACAAAGGCTATATCTCTATACTTGAAAAACATTAGGGCAGTATACACACTTGTTGCTTTTGAGAGATGCCCCCAAAAGGCATAAGAAAGGTTTGTTTTAACCAAACAATCATTTGTTCCACACTTCCTTGTGTGAGAAGAGCCAAAGGTGTTACATCCTGTCTTCCCTTCCAATTGCCTGGGGGCCTTACAACACCTATCCATGTGCAGCACATCCTGAAGTGCCTTCATCGCCTTGCAACATCTATCCATGTGCAGCACATCATAAAGTACCTTCTTGCACATACAGCTTGGGAAAGCAACCTTTAGGCACACCCGGACAAAGACCATCATTGTCTTGCTGGCTGTGCTACGCACAGGTCAGGAAAACAGGTGAAAGCACCACCGCTATTCCATAATATTTAAGGGCCACCTTATACATCCCCCAACACAACTGAGCATTTAGCCAAAGGTGAGGCTTTCAGGAGGATGCAAAACAGTTGGAACGCTCACCTTCGTACTGATGTCTTCCCGCTTGCTCCCTGGCTTGCTCCTTCGCAGCTTGATAGAAGGAGATCGAAGCAAGTTCTTGATGCGGCTTGTTATTGTGGAGCCTTCAACCGACATCATAGCCTTCGTGGGGAGGTAGCCCTGCCCCCCTCTCAAGCACTTTCTTCCTCCACCACCCAGCCAGGGGTTAACACGCCAGAGGAGTTAAGGGGGCCATTTCTGTCCAGAGACTCCGGATTGCGGGCACTCCCCTTTTTCACTTCATCATAAGGCTCCCGCTTCAGGGCACAATTGCTGAAAGCTTTTGTATTACTACTATTCCAGATACTTCCTTTGTCAGTTCAAAAGACTTGGATCAATATGGACCTTTGGGGGAAGAAAAGAGGGGAAGAGACAGCAAAGCTAACATAAGCCAGTAACACATCTTCAAGTGCATCTCGGCTTTTTCTAATAGAGGCTGAATGGCAGAAGCCATGCATCAAAGGTCACTGAATTTCATCAGGATTTGTGGAAAATCCTTTCCCCACCAGCATCGCCATATGTAAGGAAGCACACTTTAAAGGGCCAGACAGCTTTAAAGGGGTGGGGGAGACCACTGTAATAACCAGTTCACTACAGATGTCAGGATTTAAAGTTACAGCATGGACCCAGTCCTCCCCCCGCCCCACCCCCAAAGCAATCTTAATAGTTAGTCCCCCACAATTGAAGCAGTCCTTGAAGAGATCCATGCAAGGGAATAGCATAGCAGGATCAGGACCACGTCTCCTCCTCTCCCCGCCCCCTTGCACTGCCCGTTGTTGCAGTATTCACGATTTTAAAATAATGTCGAGGAATGGGCATCAGATGCTGCATATGCATTGGGCAAATAAACTTGCTGCCATCAGATCAAACGTTTTTAGCCTAGATTTTAAATATAACGGATATCTTCCAAGTCTAAAATAGCCGACGGTTTCGAACACCCCCCGCCCCCTTACTTATCAAGAAGAAAATCTCCACCAGCCAAGACTGTCAGGCCCAAAAAACCTTCCGCACCTCAGGTTGATGAGAGCCTCGGGACGGGGAGGCAAACCTACCCAGATTTTTCGGCAGAAGTTTGCGGTAATTTTGTTCCTCCCCACCTTCCTGCCCGCAAATGCGCGAAGACGAAAAATACCCGACCATCGCATAAAGCCTTTCCCAGCGCATTCTGAACCACCGTTATTCAGGGGGCAAATTCAAACCTTCAGGACGATTTTTTCTTCTTAACAATAAGCCAACGACACAAACGGTTTTGTTGGTTGTTGTTGTTTTAAAGAAAACCACTACATGGCTCAACCTTTGTTACCTTGGCGAAGAGGCAGCGGCGCTTTGCGAAGCAACGAGAACGAGAGGAGATTAAATGGGATTTCTCTGCCCGCTGCCCGTCCATGCAGCCGATTTTTCCTTTTTAGAAAAAGCCACGGTGGGATTTAAAACGCACGCGAAGCGCCCTCCTCCTCCTCCTCCTCCCCTGAACTCCTTCTCTCGCCTCTCGCTTCGCAGGGATCCAGACCGCACGCAGGCGGGGGAGCGGGAGGCAGTCAGCGGATTCAAAAACTACGAGGAAGGTCGGGAGTTCCTCTTGCAGATTTTTATTTTAAAGGGGGGAGGGAGGAAAAAATTGCTAGCGGGGAGGAGAGACTCGGAAAGGGGGCCGGGCTCTGCCCTGCTCAGCTTCCCCGCCGCCTGCTAGTTGACAGCCGAGAGGCTGGAAGTGGCCGGGGCGCCCGTGCAGGGGAGGCTGCCAGGCTCTCTTTCAGCCGGATCCTCCCAGAGGGCTGCCTGCCGTGTCACGGCTCTCCTCCTCCTCCTCGCTCAGCTGTCTCCTCTCGCCAGGTTCCGGGCTGGCGACCGCTCTTCTCGCTTCCACGCTCCAGCCCCTCCGCCCGCTGCGCTTGTTGTATCCCTTCTGGCGCAGGACTCACGCTGACAGATCCCAGCCAGCCAGATTCCGCGGCGGCGGCGGCGACGGTGGCCTAGGCAGGCCAAACCGCGAAACGGAAAAGGAGGACGGAGGAGAGGAGAACCTCGAGACCGGGTGAAGGAGGGATTAAGGATTCGACCTCAGCGCCCCTGTAGGGAGGAGGAGGAGGAGGCGGTGGTTACCTTCCTTTCCAACAGAGGCAGACCGACCTTGCTTCACCCTCCCCGCCAAGTCACCTCTTCGCAGGCAAAAAGGAGCCGGTTTGGCCAAGCCCGACCCAGCCCTGGCTCCTCTGCCAGCTTCCTTCGCAAGCGGGCACGTTTTAACTTGCCCCCGGGGGCTAAACCGGAGGCGCTGCTTAGTGGGTTACTAAAGAGCACACCGTTAAATCGGGTGGCTGACTCTTTCCCACGCCCCCCACCCCCTACGCGGCAGGACCCCTGTGCCTTTAACAGCTGCTTGGAATGCAGAAGGAGAACCGTTTCCATTACCCCAGGGAAGAAGAGGCCATATCTTCCAGGCTGAACTGCTTACACCTATAACATTGCCATTAGCTAGTCTAAACCAGGCTTCCTCAACCTCGGCCCTCCAGATGTTTTGAGACTACAATTCCCAGCATCCCTGACCACTGGTCCTGCTAGCTAGGGATCATGGGAGTTGTAGGCTAAAAACATCTGGAGGGCCGAGGTTGAGGAAGCCTGGTGTAAATTCTCAGGGGCCTTTTTTCCAAGCTTGCCTGGCTCCGGGCTGGATTTTCCAGTGGTATTATTATTTTATTATTTATGAAATTTATATACTGCCCTACTTCCTAAAATCTCATGGCGGTTCACAAGATAAAAATGCAGGGCAGAATGCAGGCATTTCCACTTTTATCTATTTACACCATTTTTGTAGCATCCCTTCAATCAAGACCTAGTTCCCCTGAATTTCAGAATTTTTTTTAATGTCGCTCCGGTGCGTTCTCATGCATAATAAATGCAAAATTAGTAGTGATCATGACTCTAGAGAGAATGATTCCCTATGTGGTGTGAACTGCCCATTTCTTGCAGTAATAAATATGATACCTGGAATTATATCTGATATTAGTCTGCATCCTTTCAAAAATGCACACAGTCAGATCCGATTAAAGTTTGCTTGAGAACATCCCATACTGTTCAGTAGGATTTACTTCCTGAAGAAAGCCCATGAACATGAAGGATGTTTGTAATCCCTGCATAGTCTCACACTGCAGGTGCCTGCATTGGTTTCCATATTCTAACACAGAATAGACCTTACAGCAGTAAGGCTGCTGTAAACACTTACCTGGGAGTAAGCAACACTGAACAGAGTGGGGCTTTTAGGAATTGTGCTGTGGAGGAAAGCTTCACTCAAAATTCTGTAATCTGGGCTACCATTTTGTTCCAAAATTTAACAAAATTATGCCAACAGTTTTTAGCAGATACAGTGCTTGCCGTTTTTCTGTGTGTGCCCCTTCTTTCACTGTTTTGTGCTTCAGAACTTTGGTGAACATTTTAATATATGCAATATACTTCGTTTGTTTCTGAGCCCAATTAAAAGAGGTTGGGTTGGCGAGAAGGTGGGATGGCACCATTTCTTTGGCATTTAATTAAATAGTCCGTTTATGGAATCATTCCCTTTCCTTCCCTCTCACCTCTTGTGCTAGGTTTGGCTCTTAATTCCTGACTCATTATCTGATCCTAGCTGCTTATCCTTGTTTATCTACTGCCATTAAGCCAGACTTCCCTGGTTCACACACAGTGGGGAACTCTGGCTTAATACAATGCAGTCCTGTTTCCATAAAACATTGTTTATGATACTAAGAAAGTTTTTTGAACCTAGATTATAGGTTCAATGCAATTTCACATTTTCAAAATACAGACATTGATTCATCACCTCTATACTCCTGTTTCTGAGTAGCAATGACTTCCAGGGAAATATTATATATTCCAGGTAGATGGCCATTCAGACTGGTTAAGGTGACTCTTCTGTAGCTAATTGCCCATTAGTCAACTTGAAAGGGTCAGCCCTGTCATTAGGCATAGAACAGCAAACTGCTTATATTATAATTTGTATTTTTAGTGTCCAGGAATGAGAGAGGCACATGTTGTAATTTTCTGCTTCAGGTGCCAAAAAGACTTGACCAACCTTAGGTACTGCACACCTTGACTTGGAGCATTATTTGCTGCTCTATGTCAGACAGCAAATATTTTGTTTTGGCTCTGAACTTTGATTATATCCATAACCCACCAGACTCAGATTGCAACCTTATTCTGGTTCGCCAGAAGCGGCTTAGTCATGCTGGCCACATGACCCAGAAGCTGGCGAGATGAGCGCCACAACCCCAGAGTCATCTGCGACTGGACCTAGCGGTCAGGGGTCCCTTTACCTTTACCTGCAAACAAGATGCACTGAAATCTGCAATACATATTTCTGAATAGAAACCCTTTACTGTTTAAACCTATTGCTGTATAGACTGGGCCTGTTAATTTGGCTTCAGTGTGGTGTAGTGGTTAAGAGCGGTAGTCCCGTAATCTGGGGAACCGGGTTCGCGTCTCCGCTCCTCCACATGCAGCTGCTGGGTGACCTTGGGCAAGTCACACTTCTTTGAAGTCTCTCAGCCCCACTCACCTCACAGAGTGTTTGTTGTGGGGGAGGAAGGAAAGGAGAATGTTAGCCGCTTTGAGACTCCTTAAAAAGGGAGTGAAAGGCGGGATATCAAATCCAAACTACTTCTTCTTCTTCTTCTTCTTCTTCTTCTTCTTCTTCTTCTTCTTCTTCTTCTTCTTCTTCTTCTTCTTCTGAAATTTGTCCAGGATCAGGTTGCCTCTTTTATCTTTTAATTGCTACTCCCAAAGGATGGGTGGGAAGAGAGGGCAATGACTCATCCCCCTATTTCTAACTAGCTGGGTTGGGTCCTTGGGTAAGGGAACATGCACCTGGAAGCCCAGGGGAGAAACAGTTGTAATTCCCAAGTGAGGCCTGGGGCTGAAAAGCTTAACGAAGGATGGGAACATACTGATCCACACCTTTGTAATCAACAGAACCTGTTAGTTTGTTTGTGATAGGGGTGCAGGTTGGCTTGTTCGTTTTAATGCTTTAGGCCAAGGCCTGACAAAGGTTCTAATCCCAGTGCTGGCTTTTTTTGGAAGAACGTTCCACTGAACTTGGCGAGGCTTCCTTCTGAGTAAACATGGTGGGTGTGGGTATGGGAGAGAGAGAGAGAGCAGTTAGAAAGTGCAGTGCTTGCCACACTCCCTGAAAGGTTATCACTAAAAAAACCCTGGGAGTGCAGTATGTTATGATGCGCCACCACCTCATAGGAGAAGAAAATGGCTGCCCCTATGTGCTTTGGCACCAGAGGCCCAGGTGTCCACAGTAGCTAGGAATGCCTTTTACCGACTTTGGCTGCTATTACAGCTTTGGCTTTCCCTTAGACTGGGATGGCTTAACTACAGGAGTCCAGGCTTTGGTAAGTTTAATATTGGATTGCTGCAATGTACTCTATTTTGGCCTTTCCTAATGGTTGGTTCAGAAACTAAATAAAAAAGGTAAATGAAGAGAAAGTACACACATGTCCCACTTTTCAAATGCTTGCTCTACATTCATTCATTCATTCATTCATTCATTCATTCATTCATCTGAATACAAGGAATTAGTACCCAAATCTTACTATACACACCACAGATTCAGATATCCGAACAGCTGGAGTTTGCCTGCTTCCTTATTTGCTTGTGCTTTCCTGGTAGGTGGCAGCCATTTGGGGGCAGAAACCAGGGAGAGAAGGAGATTGGACAAATTAGTTTTTCCTTTCTCTCTTTTGTTGGTTGGCTGTAGCCATGTCAGGAAGCACTAGAGAAAGGAGAGATTGGACCACTCGCAGATTTAAAATGTTCCCATGGGAAATAATTGAAATTGTCAGCTCTTGATACAAACTCTCAACTACCAAACAATTTCATGGGAACCCACGGCGTTCAGAAAGCAGGACCTGCATGTACGGTACTTCTTTGCACAGTGCCGAGTTAAACTGTGGAACTTGCTCCTGAGGTAGTCATGGCTGCCAATTTATTATGGCTTTACAAGAGGATTAATAAATAAATTATCCAATTAAAATAAAAAACTAAAATAAAAAAGACCAAATTATAGTCCAAATTATAATTATTAATTTTTCGGAGCTCCCCACAGTCTGGATCTCTGAAGCATATCTCCACATATCAGTCCTGCCTCTCCTTGTTGTTTCCATATTTTCCACATCTTGATTTTGACATTTTATAATTCTCCGTCCCTGAGTCCACGATTCTCAATCATGTCAAACATCACCTACTTTCATCCATCGAATACAGCTTTGTTAGTATATATTTTTCCAACTGTCTTTTTATCAGGAGCATTATGATTTGATATATTAATTGGATGTTTTTTATTGGAAAATCAATAAAAATGATTATAAATAAATAAATAAATTCATGGAGGAGGCACGGTTGGAGGCAGCAACTGAATACCAGTAGCTGAAAACTACAGGAGGGGAGAGTGTTCTTGTGCTTGAATTCTGCTTGCGGGTTTTCCAGAGGCCTCTGACTGGCTTCTGTGGGAACAGGACGCCGGACAGGATGGACCATTGCCCTGATCCACCAGGCTTTTTTGTCACTACAGAATGTTGCAGCACAGTTGCTGACAGGAATGAAATATTACACCTCTGCCCAAAGATCTAGCTGCAAATTTCATTACCGAGCAAAATTCAATGTGATACTTTTTAGGGTAGTATAGTATTTATTGTTTTATTTATTCGATTTCTGCCCCACACCTTATTTCAAAGGAGCCTAGGGTGGCAAACATAGCAATACTAATACAATTTAAACTTCTTTTAAAAACAGTTTAAACCTGTTGGGGCTCCAACTCCCATCACCCCCACTTTAGGCAATGGTCAAGGGTTATAGGAGTTGTAATCCAACATCTGGGCACTCAGGTTTGAAGAACACTTTGCTATGACATGCAGCCGCATGAAAATTGTGGAATGGCTGAGCCACACCTACAGATAAGCCAAAGCAGGCACTTGGAAAACATCTCATACTATTATGTAGACTGTCTGGTTGAACCCCTTGAGCCAAAATTCCTATACAGTGGTACCTCGGGTTACATACGCTTCAGGTTACAGACTCCGCTAACCCAGAAATAATACCTCGGGTTAAGAACTTTGCTTCAGGATGAGAACAGAAATTGTGCTCTGGCGGCGCGGCAGCAGCGGGAGGCCCCCATTAGCTAAAGTGGTGCTTCAGGTTAAGAACAGTTTCAGGTTAAGAACGGACCTCCGGAACGAATTAAGTACGTAACCAGAGGTACCACTGTATATGCAACAATCCCTTAAAACACTCCCTGGTGTATTTTGCTAGACCTCTTATAAATTCAAGGACTCTTTTGTACACGCACACAGCAAAACACATGGCACCTTGTTGTGACTAAAAGCTGTAATTTTAATTTTTTTATTTTTTAAAAGCTAAACCAGCATCCACCCCTTGAAGTATACCTGTGAATGCTGTCATGCTGGCTACACTTCATTAAATGGACACACTGCTGAAATTCACACTTCAGCCTGTGAGTCACATCATGCCTAAGGCCAAAGGATATCCGGCAGCACACACCTTTGGCTTATTATGGCTTAGTGTAAACGAAGAAATGAAAGAGATGAAGCCATGCGTGTTGTCACCTCTGCTAACCATAAGTGGCAGTTTACAGTCTTCTCATTGTGTGTGTATGTATAATTGCATGTTCTCTTCTATCCCTTAAATATTTTAAAGTCACAACCTGTATGGTACTCACAGGTGGATATTATGCTCCAAATTCATGTTTCTTTTTTTTTTAAAGGGGGGGGGGAGAATCTTGACCATCATGAAATGTCTTATGTTACATAGTTAGTTTTTGGGGTTGTTTGGTTTTTTTTAAAAAAAATTCAGTTTCTTTGTTCTTTCAACTAGCAGTCTTACCAGACTATTTATTTCTGCACTCTGTACCAAACTCCAACAACAATAATAAATATAATTGCCTACTTATTCTTTGGGACCAATCAAACCATATACAGTGGTACCTCGGTTTAAGAACAGACCTGTTTACGAACTATTCGGTATAATAACTCCGCAAAACCGGAAGTACTGTTTTGGTTAGTGAACTTTACCTTGGTCTATGAACGGAAGCCAAACAGTGGAAGGGCACCGGCAGTGGGAGGCCTCATTAGGGAAAGCGTGCCTCAGTTTAAGAACGGCTTTGGTTTAAAAACAGACTTCCGGAATGGATTAAGTTCATAAACCAAGGTACCACTGTATTTCTACTACACAAGCAAATACAAAGGAATAGAATCTGCTTGCTCGTATGATGCTGTTGTGAAATTCTCCAAAGTAGGCAATGCAAGAACCTGTAGAATGATTCTTAGCTCATCCAAATAAATTTTCTAGATGCCAGGGAGCTGAACCAGCTATAATATCCTAAACAGATAGTGATAACATTCAACAAGGCAGAACAGCCCAAAGTAACATTTCTTCAAGCCATGAGAACAGGAAAAAACGGTTCATTTGACAGATGAAAAGAATTACAGTAGAATGCAACCCTAGAATATAAATGGACATGAGGAACTGCTTTTTTTTTAAAAGCGTGTGGGGAGGAGATAAAGGCCAGATATAAATATGAGAACACACTGACCTTATGCAATATTTCTTTTTGTTGTTACAGAAATAAAACCATAAAAGCAAATATTATGTCAGAAAGAAGAATGATTTCAAGAGAGTTTTGCATACAAGCCAATGAGGATTGTCAGCTAATATCCATTTAGAATGACCTTGTTTATCTCTCTGTTGTAGGCCAGCCTTCTCCAAGCTGTTATGGGCTACAGTTTCCATCAGCCTCAGCATGGCTAATGGTCAGGGAGGATAGGAGTATTAGTCTGAAGGAGCGTCTCCACCCCCATCGTTCAGCCCGGACACTGAGATCCAGCGCTGAGGGCCTTCTGGCGGTTCCCTCATTGCGAGAAGTGAGGCTACAGGGAACCAGACAGAGGGCCTTCTCAGTAGTGGCGCCCGCCCTGTGGAACGCCCTCCCATCAGATGTCAAAGAGATAAAAATTACCTGACATTCAGAAGACATCTTAAGGCAGCCCTGTTCAAGGAAGTTTTTAATATGTGACGCTGTACTGTTTTTAACACTGATTGGGAGCCGCCCAGAGTGGCTGGGGAAACTCAGCCAGATGGGTGGGGTATAAATAATAAATTATTATTATTATTATTATTATAGTCCAAAACATCTGAGGTTACCAGCTGGGGGAAAGTTACTGTATGCTTATTTATTTGTAAACCGCAGGCACCCAAGACAACTCTCACAGTCCTTATTAAAAAGTAAAGGACCCCTGGACAGTTAAGTCCAGTAGAATTTGACTATGGGGTGCAGCGCTCATTTCCGCTTTCAGGCCGAGGGAGCAGGTGTTTGTCCGCAGACAGCTTTTCCTGGTCATGTGGCCAGCATGACTAAATGGCTTCTGGCACACAGAACACCATGACGAGTGCCAGAGCGCACAGAAACATCATTTACCTTCCCACCACAGTGGTACCTGTTTATCTACTTGCACTGGTATGCTTTCAAACTGCTAGGTTGGCGGGAGCTGGGACAAATCAACGGGATCTCACCCTGGATTCAAACTGCCGACCTTATGACCAGCAAACCCAAGAGGCTCAGTGGTTTAGACCACAGCGCCACCCGTGTCCCCTCAGCCAATAAATGACAGAGCTTCTGTGACTGCTGGATTGTTCTTGGTTGTATGCCACCCCGGTCTTTGAAAGGTGAGAGATTCCAGGCATTTACCCAGGGTTCAGTTTCCTTGGAATGAGGGCCAGTGGAGACTGTGGTCTCTTTAGGATATATGGTTTATTTACACATATATACAACCTGAGTCTACGGCAGAGGGGTTCATGGTGGGAGATTAGCAGCCAAACCTAACAAATGCATATGCTTGCTAGTTTGCATGAGAAGCAGCTAATGCCACGGAGCTGTATTGCTGATAATCAAATACTCAGACCATAGAAATACAATTGGTAGAGAGGGCTCTGTGTCATATTCCCCTCCTCTCCTGGAGAGGAAGAAGCATATAAGACCTCCTGTTCCTCTCTCTTCTGTTGATCAGAGTTGTATGCAGACATGCCTCTGCTTGCTCGAGCTTTAGACACTTGCCTGAAGCTGGTTATACTGTAAATAAATCATTTTGGATAATAAAGTAAGTATATCTTAAAGTTGTTGCCTGATTTTTTGTTAAGCGGGGTAAGAAGGAGGAAGCCAGCTTACTTTGCAGCTGGACTTGCTCAAAAGCAGGGGTTTACAGCCTCATTCCTATGCTTTTAAATTGGCTGCCGATGATGGGATTTTGAAATTATGTTCTACCTACACACATGGGGGCCTGGAGGGATAAACTGAATTACTATATCCTCTCCTTTTCATTAAAACCCATCCCACATTAACACCCCAACAGATCTTGCTTCTCCACTAGCCACAGCCTTGGGTTCCAGCGCAAATCAAGCACTGGTCTGTATTCAGCTTCTCAGCCTACTTTATTACTGCTCAGCTCTCACACACAACTCTGACCACTGTCTTTCTAACCACCAGCCAGGCAAGAGGAAAATCCCACCCATTTGCCCTATGGTACACAGCAACTTTGTTGGTTATGCTAATCATGGTGTTTAAGTGGCCAGCTAAGACCACTGTATTGCAACTGTCTAAAGTGACTAGTTGCGACAGCTTGCTCTCATACCTCTATCCCCTGAGATAGTAAAGGTAAAGGGACCCCTGACCATTAGGTCCAGTCGTGACCAACTCCGGGGTTGCGGCGCTCATCTCGCTTTATTGGCCGAGGGAGCCAGAGCAGTACCTATTTATCTACTTGCACTTTGACATGCTTTTGAACTGCTAGGTTGGCAGGAGCTGGGACCAAGCAACGGGAGCTCACCCCGTCGCGGGGATTTGAACTGCCAACCTTCTGATCGGCAAGTCCTAGGCTCTGTGGTTTAACCCACAACGCCACCCGTGTCCCCCACAGCACCACCCATGTCCCATCCCCAGAGATACAGGAACCCAATAATTAGAAGGGACACAGGGCATGATGCAGACTGACCCAAACCTGCAACAATATATAACTGATGCACATTCCAGCTTCTTTTACTGCTTTAACAGTAGAATGTGATAAATTGGATCTGCCACAATTCTGCATTCTGGGAAGTAAGGTTGAAGCTCATTTTGTTCATGGTGAAGCAGTAGCTTAAGTATTTCACTACAAGCCCATATTGTGAGTCAGTACATCAACCTTCAAAAAGTGGGTTGACTGATAGCATGCTGCCTTACAAGCTGTGTTTATGATGCAGAAGCTCTCTTCTCCCTCCTTCATCTTCCTGCAAGCAAAACAGCAACCCAGATGAATCATTTCAGTGAAATTCCTAGCCTGACTGGCCTACAGGTCACATTCTAGCTCACACCAATGAACAGAGCAACTGATTCTTAGAGACACTTCATGTTACCTCAGGAGAAAGCTGTGTCCATACAAAAGCACTTGAAACCAAACCCATGATAGCCCATAATCCATTGTGCGTTTTATACATCCTTCACCACACATGAGATTCAGCTTTCAGACCATGATGGGAAATGTCAGAGAAATAGTGCTTCCCAATATTATTTCTTACAAAAATATTCATCACTCTTTCAGTCCTACTTTGATCCCCCTGCCTTCTGTCCTGCCAGTCCTGATGGGCACCAGTCATGACTGGTGTTAGGACTGCAGCCACACAGGTTGAGCTGCATTATAGTTAAAGGGCTTGGAATTAAGCCAGAATTAGATGAATAGGACCCGCAAAACTGAAATCCCTATAAAATGATCAGATCCCTTGCAAACTCTGAGGTAGCCCAATGGCATCCGTATGCAAAGGGGATTAGACTAGTTGATCTGTATGCCTCATTTACAAACATTTAGTGCCCAAAGCTGTTTGTGTGTGTTGAGCGACGGAGAACAGATATAGTGCATTGATATGGACTGCACGCCAATCTAAAGCAATTGGCATCACCTGGTGGCAGACTTTGAGAACAATGTGGACAATTTTCAGCCCTTGCAACCCTCACTCCAGCAGAGGTTTATGTTATGACACTCACTGGGTCACCTTGGGTCAGTTATTCTCTCATCACCAATCCACTCCACATGGCTGTTGTGAGAATAAAGCAGGGGGGGGAATCATGTATGCTGCCCAAGGTTCATGGGAGGTAGATTGGGGTAAAGATTAGATGTTCATGGTTGTTAGTCAACTGCATCTTTCTAATGCTGCTAATGAATATATTTATAGAATCATGTCTAAATAATAAATAGTAAAACGAAGGGGTTTTCTCTTAAATTGAAAATGTAAGTCAAGCTGGCAATCACTGATTATACAAAAACAAGGGTGACTTCAGAAACTGGCTCCTTCCGGAAACTGGACACTCTTCCAGCAGCACAACCACTCCAAGTTGTCTTAGAGCAGTGGTGGCCAAACTTGGCCCTCCAGCTGTTCTGGGACTACAATTCCCATCATCCCTGACCATCCCTGTTAGCTAGGGATGATGGGAGTTGTAGTCCAAAACAGCTGGAGGGCCAAGTTTGGCCACCACTGTCTTAGAGGTTCCATGCTGCAGTCATTGCCTTGTTAAGTTCTGTATAAGTGAGGCTATCAACCAGCACTCTCATGCAAACGCAAGCT